AATACATTTTCTAGATTAGTTGCTTCAAGTATCTTAGTGGGGAGGGAGGAGAATGACATTAAAAAGAGGTTACAGAATTTAGTCTGTGAAAGTGATTACATTATATGAGCAGCAACTGGTTTCTTTTCAACTAAAGCTCAGTAGGCTGCTTAACGCCCAGAAATGTTGTATATATACCAGATAGGACCCACTGGCTTGATAGGCAGAATGCTTCATAAGGAGTGTTTTTTGCTCTATTAAGGCCTTGGCTCGATTAGGGTTTAGTGCAAGTTGTAGTGTAGATGCATTGCACCAGTGTAAATTGTGATTTACAACAATACATCTTACCCTGGTTTGAGACTGAGGAAAGCTGCTTTTGCACAAATCAGAGTTGTAACCTGGCCCTTGCCGGCCTAGGACCCAAAAACACCCAGAGAACAACCGAGGTGCAGCACCCGTGTCCTTTTATTGTTTGAGTCCATTCCCACCACCTACTATTTATAAGTATTTACAGAGACCAAGACTCTTGGAGACTACTAGCTTCCCAGCCAGCAGGGATCTAGAGCCCACGCTCCTCCCTTTCCTGTCACCCCCTCCTTCTTGTCTCTTAGCCAGCTTTATAGGGCAGGCTGGCTACCCAGGCCTGCAGGTGGATCCCCTCTGGTAATTAGGGCGTGGCCCCTCAGCCAGCCCAACTAACCCTTTTTCCTCTGGAACAGGGCTAACAGGGGCCTGGCTTGTTTCTCCTAACCAGCACCCTGTTACAGAGTTTACACCAGTACAGTACATCTATACTAAGGGGCTTGCACTAGTGTAGATTCATCAGTGGCTGAAATTCCCAGTGTCGACAAGGCATCAAACTATGTTTCCCAATCTCTTCAGGCAACTGTTCCAGTTTATCAATAAAAATACCACCTTCTAAAGATCTTGACTTTATTGTACAAAACCTCCCTTTTAATTGTGCACTCTCCTAATGAACTAGAGCAGGGATTGGCAAACTTGGCACGCGGCCCGCTAGGGTAAGCACCCTGGCGGGCTGGGCCGGTTTGTTTACCAGCCGTGTCCGCAGGTTCAGCTGATTGCGGCTCCCACTGGCCACGGTTCGCCGCTCCAGGCCAATGGGGGCTGCAGGAAGCAGTGTGGGCCGAGGGATGTGCTGGC